CCGTATGCTGGCAAATTATTCCACAATAGTCATATTTTATCAAAAAGATATGCAAATCAGTAGTTGACCTTCATTAATTTACTAAAAATAATCCTTTTGTTTCCAAAATTACTTACGTTTATATAGAATTTGCAGGTGGTGTATATATCTGTTGCAAGGTCAACCTGCCCCACTGGAGCCTTTAGCATTGCCCATTTTTCACTACTCCAATCTTTAAACTTGGTGCAGAGGTTCTGATCTATGCTTGAGTCATCTTTTTCGCCTTTCACCTCGCTATCGCTAGGTGTTGGCTGAAAATTGCACTTCGTTTTATGCATAGGTATAATTTCCTGGAAAAAGAAAAAATCCAAGATTGTGTGCGGTTCAGTCTGAGGATTTATTGTTTCGAATTAACTATTCCTCATATATTTAAATTTAAATTAACGTGAGCAATAGCATAGTCCTGCCATACCGTTTGTCAATTAATTTGTTTGGGACACAAGACATATCTAATATTATATTCCTTTCGAATATGCATTATACAGGGTGTCCCAAAAAATGTATACACCTTTAAAACAATTTGTTATTTTAAGGTTTATTGTAATTTTATTATTTCAAAATGTAAAAGTATTGAAAAGTATCATTTTATTGTTTTTTCACTGCATTTTCACTATATTTTACATAAATGAGAAAGAGAGAAGCCATTGAACATGAATGCGCACAAATACGAATGGAATTGTTTTGTGATGTGTGCGATTCGATTGCTTCGCATTTTCTGGATTAAATGGACGTCAGTTTGAGAACATGCAGTGAGAAAACAATAAAATGATGCTTGTATATAGTCTTAAAATTGTGAAATAATAAAATTATAATAGATGCCAATTTTACAATTATTTGAAATTTGTATACATTTTTTGGGACACGCTGTAGGAAAGGAATGCATTTAGACTGTTAGCTAGCTTGTTATCCGATGGTGTGTAACTTAAATACCACTTGACTCCGTCCTTAGGTATTATTCGCGAACCCTTTTGATTTCGTACAAAACGTAAGAAGACAGCAATCGGG